AGTTTGTTATGATCCACACAGTCAAATGCCTTTGCATAGTCAATGAAACACAGATAGACATTCCTCTGGTATTCCCTGCTTTCAGCTAAGATACACACACACACACACACACACACACACACACACACACACACACACACACACATATATATATATATATATATATACAAAATTCTGCTTCCAAACGAAAAGAAAACAAGTAAATGGGAGATGTTTAACATGATTAATTTAAAAAAATAACACTAAATTGCATACCTGAAAAATACTGCATTGGTAAATATCAGGTTAATTTTTCTTATAGTAATAAATAAGAAATAAATAAAGCTATATTTACAGTGAAACATATTTTCAGTGAAATGTTGCTAGTAATTAGAAGAGTAGTGTCAATATCCATTGTTCATGGTTTATCACTTCAGAATTCTTGAAAGAAATGTTTTAATCTTCTGCTATATCACTTACCTTCTTGAACTCCATACACGATTTTGAGTGTTTGCTAGGTTGAATGTTGTACAGCACAATACCTGTGTTCTGTTCTCTAGGAAAAACAACCCAAGCAGATTAGTGTAGAGTCACAAAAGAAGTAGATAGGCATTGTCTTTCTTTGGACAGTTGAGAGGTCCCGTGTACACTACAGGACTGAACCATCTAAGAAGAATTCTAAAAGCCTAGAAAGTTATCTTTGTCCTACCTACTCATTGCTTCTGTTAAGGTCACCCTGTCTTGTGGTCAGTTCTTAGACTTTTCCCCACTTCATGGTGCTCTATACTTAGGCCAGCATAAAGCTGGCCCAGTGAAAAATAGAAATGAGCGTCAATCATGATTCCCATCCCCTTATTTCATGAACCCTTCCAGGCTCTAAAGGATGAAGATCTGCTAGCATTTTTTCCTACTTCCTGATGGTACTATAAAGATGGGGCTACTTTATCAGTTCCTCTTCCACACCCCACAGGCTCCCCCCACATTCCTGCCCCCGCTGGCCACTGGTACACCTTTGGGACAATGAAGAGTAACTTATGAGTCTAGTTTTTGAACCAGATTAATGTGCATGGCACAATCTGACTAGAATAAGATGTACGTCAAACAGAACGTCTCTTTAGGCTCTGAAGAGAACAGGGACCATTTTGTGCTCAGAAAAAAAAAGTGAGAACTTATAAAATAACAGAAGGGGATATTTGGAAAGCTTTATTGACTCCCCATGCCTACATAGATATTTTCTCATCCAAGAGAAATTCAGGGACACCAAGGCAAAATCCTAATACAGACACATTCCCTTTTTCTTTCAGTGTCCATGACATTTCTTTATCAATTCACTGTGTACAGCTTAAGGGAAAGACACAGAGGTAACATTTTAAAATCACTGTTCTAATGTCTTTGAAATCAGGAAGCATCTTATAATTACAGAGCTTTGCAAGCATAATGGCAGCCTCCAGATGGCACACATGGTTAAGTACTTGACTGCTAGTCCTAGCCCAAAGGTCAGTGGTTCGAGGCACCTTGGAAGGCAGGATTTCCTTTGGCTTGCTCAGCCCATGTGGAGGTGCCGTGAATCAGAAGAATGGACATTACAGCAACTAACAGTGACAGCAACAAGCATGGCAAGCTTTATTGTGATGCACAGAAATCCTCAGTGTCTTGACTTGAAGGGCTCTTTGGTAAGTCCAATAACACAGTGTATATCTATAAAGGGGGCTCAAGGAAGTATGGTAAATTCAAGGTCCTGTTTTTCCTCTATAAGTAGACATATACCCCCTTCTCCACCTGCCTTGACTGTTGAAAAGCTTTTTATCTTTTCCGTTAAGTCTCAAGCTGACCATTTTATGTCTGTTCTACAGATCCAGAATTCTGAGTAAATATTCACAAAAATAACAATTAAAAAATACCCAAAGGAATTCATATTCGATGAATGAAGAGAAAGGTTGGTGGGCAAGGGATAAAGGATGGACTTGGATTCCTCTTATTATTGTGTCCAAAATAATGATTTTGCTCTTCCCTTTATGCCCAGTCCTGTCCCTCCATTCTGCTTCTTGTCTTCTCTCACTAAATATGTCCCATGAGAGAGACATTTTTTTGGTACAGCATGCATTTAGAGCATTTAGCAAGGACTTGGCACAGAATGGTACTCAGACTCGCTTGGCCTAGCAGTACATAAAAAAAACAAAACAAAAAACCACCCAGAACATCCCATCCAGATTCTTTCTTCCTAAAAAGTGCCATATATTCAGAGAATATTGAGCCAGGCAGTAAGAACAATGACAGAACTGTGCTGTGTGGGGATTTGAGAAGCTGATCTTTCTGAAGTTTAGGTTGAGCTCCTTAACCTTTGTGTCACTCAGAGATTCCAGGGACAACTGCATAAATGCCTCAAGATACAACTTCATGCTGATTGTCCTCTTCCAGAAATTTTAAGTGAGTACAAACAGACACACAGCCAGCTAGTGAATTCTGACTCATAACAACTCCACGGAGCAAGTTGGAACTTCTAGGGCTTCTCGGGCTATAATCTTGGAAGCAGACAGCCACAGCCACATTTTCCTTGTGAGGAGCACATGATGAGTTTGAAGTGCCAAGATGATGCGCTGCCAACCCAAAGACATGTGGGTCAAATCCACTAGCTGTTTCAAAAGAGAAAGGTGTGCAATCTCCAATTTGCTGCCTCTAAAAATTCACTGAAGGGTCAACTATGTGTTGATTCTGACCGATGACACATAACAACAACTCAACAGAGTTTGGTTAGGAGCTTAGGACTTACTCACTACGTCACCAAGATTTCTTCAAGCACTCAGGTGTTACCTTATTCCAGAGGGTAAAGATGGTGCTTCATCTGAATCTACACACATTTAAATCCTTCTGTAATTTTGTTATTGTGTGCTGGAGAGTCAGAAGTGACTGTTAATCTTATGAGAGGGAACTGCCTTTATTTTTTATTAAGGGTCATAAAGCAAGACCCTGGGAGGAGAATTAATGATGGAACATGCTTGGAAATTATGGGGCTTCGAGATAACCCATGTTTCCCTTCTCGATCTGGATGAATGCCAATCTTTAGACAGGTCAGGTTTCCACGTAACTACAAGTAATAATTCACTCCCCCTCACCAAGAATTAAATTAAAATCTCATATCTAATCAGACAGTGAAAAGAATTTTTCCTTTCTTCCTGAATATTTAAGAGGAGGGGAAGCCATTTAAAGAAATGAATTACTACAAATCAACAAGCTGAATAACATATTGAGTACCAAACAGATTCTTTTAGAAATCCTACTCACTGTAACTTGAAGTAATCATTGGCTGCTTCGTAATTTACAGACTGAAACAAATCTATTACCTAGAAAAGAAAATAAGAGTTTATGTAAAGCAGGAAAATAGAATAGGGATGGACGTTAGTAGCCTATCATTTTTTGTGACCCCACACACTCCTTAGAATTTGTGTAACTATTGATCACTCAGAATCAAGTTTTCATGGGACACGATGTATACTTTCAAGACATTAACATTTTCCTTTGGTTTATCAATAAGGAACTGCGCTGCAATCCCACAGGCATGCAGTTCAAATCCACCAACTCCAAGGGAGAAAGATGGGCGATCTCCTCCCGCACAATTAAACCGACTCTGAAAATTAACTTGGAGGGTCATATATTGAAGGTACACAACAACCAAAAGAACAAGGAAAAAAACCACGATTAATACTTTCCTTTGGTTTATTTTTTATTTCAGAAAATACAATTAGTAGAGTATAGTTTATTACATTTTATTAGTTTTCTCCTTAATTTTATGCCATCATTATGCTAGGAGAGACTAGTCCTTAGAAAGGACATCATGCTGGGGAGGGTCAGCCAAAGAGCCAGAGAGCCTCCCCCAGGTGGACTGACAGGGTGACTGCTGCAGTGGGCTCTAGTGTGTCAGGAAGTGTGAGGACGGCGCAGGGCAGGACAGGCTTAGATCTGTTCATGGGGCTGCTCTGAGTTGCCGCTGACTTGACGGCACCTAACAAGAACAATAAATTTTCATTTCAATATTTTTATCCTTAATCTTAACTCATCTACTAAATTTAGCACACTTGTTTCACTCGTTTTATAATACTCTGATGTATGAGCTTTTCGTTTCTTCCTTGAGATTTGGAAACTATTACAGACATCGTATTATCTGTCATTTCACCCCCTCAATGATTCAATTTTGCTTATTTTCCAGGATTTTTTCCTGGTTATAAGAAGGAATGAATGTTCATTACAGAAAACAGTAGGAAGAACAAAGAAAGAAAAGTCATTTGTATCCTCCACTTGTCTGTCATTTTTGAGACTATGGGGAATTATTTGCCTAAACCTCTCCTTTGTAATTTTTTAAGTAAGTAAAGTTTTTGGTAAATGTCAAACCAAATATCCTGGACTCATTTCTATAGAGATGGTCTCAACTCATGGTGCTGTCCTGTGTTACAGAGTAGAAGCTGTTAGGCAGGATCTCTTGTTACAGTCTTGTTATGCTGTTATGCAGGACCTCTTGGTCCACATCTTTACAGAATATTATTTCTAGGCTTTTCTTGCTTGGTGCCATTAGTCGGGCTTGAATAGCTTACCTTTCAGTTAGTGGTTGAGTCCAAATGGTTTGCACCACCCCTAGAAATAATGTGCCCATGTAATATACTTATTATGTACCAAGTATTCCTGTAAGTTTACATATGTTAGCTGAATTAGAGTCACATGCTACTTAATGTTTACTATATATACTTTGTGATACAGGAGGTTATGCAATATGAGTAGTGTAAAGAAATTGAGATTGTTAACAGCTTTAGTTTTCTTGGCTCTGCAATTAACACTCTTTGCACCAGCAAAAGAGACAAATTACATTGGGGAAAGTCAGCTTTCAGGGACCTCTCCAGAGTACTGAAGAGTAACGATGTCAGACTGGAGACTAAGGTGTGCTTGATGTGGGCCATAGTCTTCACAATTGCTTGCTATGTGTCAGAGAGCTGGACAATGACTAGGGATGACAGAAAAAGTATCAATGCCTTTGAGCTGTGGTGCTGGAGAAGAATGTTGAATATACCATGTGCTGCCAACAGAACAAACAGATTTGGCTTAGAGAGGGTGAAGCCAGCCTGTTCCTTGGAGACAAGGATTCTGAGGCTTTGACATACTCTGGGCATGTTTCAAGGAAGGACCAGTCCTTGGAGAGGAACATCATGCTTGGAAGGATGGTGTGATGGAGAAAGAGAGGGAGACCATTGATGAGATAGATTGATTCAGTGACTGGGGTAGTGAGGGTAGGTATGTCAGAGGCAGTAAAGCTGGCATAGGATATACAGCAGGTTTCAGAGCTATTGAACATAGGTAGGGTTGCTGTGAGTTGCAAGTGACTCAATGGCACATAACAATAACAACAGCAACATGTTGTTGTTGTTGTGCACCAGCAAGTTTGACCCAACTCATAGCTGACCCTTCAGCAGGTCTGCAGAGGCAGTAAATCACACAGGAGGAGCTTGCTCAGCTTTCTTGCAAGGAGCAGCTGGCAGATTTGAACTATACGCGTTTGGGTTGGCACACAAATCCTCACCACTAAGCCACCAGTGGGTGTGGTATGAGCATGCCTAAATTTGGAACAATAGCATTTACTGATTTCCTGCCATTGTGTAGCTTTACCCTCAAATCAATACTTTCCCTTTGCCTCCTGTTGCTATTACTAGCTTTGCAGCTTGCAGAAGATATGAAGCAGTGGAAGGTATGCTGCACCTTATGGTTGTTTTTGAAAGGAAGTTGAGCATGATGTCAGAGCACTTAAGAGACACGATAGACAACAACAGCCTATAATTAAAGCATATGCTGCTACTTGGTAAGCTTTTGACTTGTGCATAGGAAAAGTTCACATTAAAATAATGACAGAAAGTACAGTACTGAGCATACATATCAATACCATCAGCATTTGTCAATGCTTATTAATATATATGTATTATGGGTTATTTATGCACTATGCTAGCAGCTCAAACACTTTGTATGCAAGAGATATGAGACATTCATGCTGCAGTTGGCAAAAGGTCATGCTTCCTCTCTATCTGGCTATATCCCTACATGCTGTCTCTATCTGAGATTTCTAAAGTCTATTATAAGCTTTTGGAAGCAGGAGTGGCATCCACTTCCATAATAGCTTGCCTCCGGAAACCCTATGAACCTGGAGAGAGGATGAAAGAAACCCAAGTGTTGGGGACTCTCCTTCATAGGATCGCTATGAGTCGCCTGCGACTCAACAGCACTTAAGGATGACGACGATTATAAGTTTGCGGGACCATGGATGTTTATGTGGTTAGATGTTGTCTGAATACGTATTATGTGGCTCAGGATTGTAATCCTCATAACCTTATGAAGTTGTTGTTAGGCACGGTCAAGTTAAAACTGACTCGTAGCTGACCCTCCAGCAGGTTTTCAAAGGCAGTAAATCACACGAGAGGAGAATGCCAGTCTTCCCAAGGAACAGCTGGTGGATTTGAACCATGTGCCTTTGGGTTGGCAATGCAGTTCTTTACCACTAAGCCACTTGGTACTCCAATTATTATCAACCTCAACATAGAGATGAGGTAAATGATCCATAGCAACCCTATGAACAATGGCTCTGAAATCTGCCTATCCTGAGCCAATCTCACTGTCTCTGACACACCTAGCTGCATAACCCCAGTTACTGTATCAATCCAACTCACCCAGCGGTTTCCTCTCCTGCACTGTCCCTCCACCCTTCTGAGCATGATGTCCTTTTCCAAGGATTGGTCCCTCCTGGCCATGTGCCCAAAGCATGTGAGATGGAGCTTCAAAATCCTAGCCTTCAGAGAGCACCCTGGTTTCACCCTCTTAAGGACAGACCTGTTAGTTCTCTTTGCAGCTCATTGTATGTTCAACACTCTTCTCCAGCACCAAAACTCAAAGGCATTGATTCTTCCTCTGTCATCCTTAGTCATTGTCCAGCTCTCTGATACATAACAAGTATTTGCAAAGACCATGGCCTGGGTTAGGGGCACCTTAGTCTCTATACTGACATCTTTGCACTTCAGCACTCTGGAGAGGTCATAGCCAACACACAACTGACTCATCATTAGGTTGTGAGAGGCAATAAACCACACGGGGAAGAGATTGTCCATCTTCCTCCCAAGGAACAGCTGGAGAATTTGAACCTCATGCCTTTGGGTTGGCAGCACAACTCCTTACTGCTAGCACTACCTTTTTCGTTAGTAGCCAAATGTAAACCATTTAACACCATGTAGAAGTCAACAATACATTCACCAATCAAGAAGATTAGAGAAAAATATCTATTTTAATAGAGCAAAGAAATCTTTTTATTGAAAGTAAAAATTTTGACTCCAGGATTAGTTAATTAACATATTGTTGAGAATTTTCATGCTCTTTTGCATCTCTAAGTTTAGTTAAATTTTGAAGGGAAATTCACTTAAAAAAAGGATACTGTTACCCACACATATGTATATATGTAAATTAGATGAGGAACCTTTTAAAACATTAACTTACCACAGTTTTACTGCATTGTCCCGAGATAAGTTGATAGTTAAGTGTCATTTTATCTTCTATTATTTTTGGACCATAGGATTCCAAAACAATATCTACGCCAGTACTTTGAGGATAGAGAACTTGAGCCCAAAATAATAGCTTGTCGTTCTTGTCCAAAAAGTAAAAAACATTTAAAAGACTATTATGAAATGCAAGGAAGGGGCATTTTTCATTTGTTTGGAAAAATAAACTTTGTACTTCCAGTCTTAAAGGGTATGGCTGTATGTCCAGCCTTTCATTTTTTAAAATATATATGAAATACAATTTGCCAGATACAGTCAAGCCTAAGAATGCTTTCAAGGTCTTATTTGCCCATGGATGTAGCTGTATTGCATCTTTAATATTGCTCTTAGAATAAAACATTACATTGTTTTTCATTTTTATCACAATATTTCCAAAATTATCTGGAAGAGAAGAGAAAAGCTTATGTTAGTCTAAGTAACCATAAATCTGTTATCACATTTAAGCATGCAGATGATGCAATCTTGCTCACTGAAACTGAGGAGGACCTGAAGCATCTGCTGCAGAATGCCAAGGTCTGCAGTCTTCAAAACAGGTTGAAGCTCAACACCAAGAAAACAGAAATTCTCACCACTGGACCAGTTGTCAGCACCATGATAGATGGAGAAGAGATTGTAACAATTTCAGCTTGCTTGGGTTCACAGTAAACACTCTTGGAACCAGCAGCCAGGAAATCAAAAGACTAATTAGATTAGGAAAATCTACTCTCAGGGACCTCTCCAGAGCGCTGAAGAGCAAGGATGTCAGTATAGAGATTAAGGTGCATCTAATCCAGGCCATGGTCTTTGCAATTACTTGTTATGCATCAGATGGACAATTAATAAAGATGATAGAAGAAGCGATGCCTTAAAGTTGTGGTGCTGAAGAAGAGTATTGAACGTATCATGGACTGCTAAGAGAATAAACAGGTCTGTCCTGGAGAGGGTGAAACCAAGTTGTTCTCTGAAAGGAAGGATTTTAAAGCTCTGTCTCATATACTTTGGACATGTGGCCAGGAGGGACCAGTCTTTGGAGAAGAGCATCATGGCTGGAAAGGGTGGAAGGACAGCACAGAAGAGGAAATCTCTGGATGAGATGGATTGACACAGTGACTAGGGTAATAGGGCAGGTATGTAGCTCAGGATAGGACAAAGTTCAGAACTATTGTACATAGGGTTGCTAGGAGTCACAGGAAGCTCAGCAGCGCACTCTAACAACAAAACAACCACAACAACAACAACCCCCAAAGTAATTTCTTTCATAACTTTGTATACATGACAAGAATAGTTTTCTTAGAAAGCACTTCCATGTATAAATAAGAATAGTTAAAAAGAATGACCTCCCTTCTCTGGCCCACTCACTCATTGCCATTAAGTTGCCAGTTTATAGTTGGCCCTCCACTGGAGTGTTGTAAATGATGAGAGAGGAGATTGTTCATCTTTACCCTGCATAGTTAGGGGCTAGTGGATTTGAACTGCTAGAGAGGTGTCAACTTTGGGTTAGCAGTGCAACTCCCTACAGACTACACCATCAGAGCAGACAAAAATTCAATTTTATCTCAAAAGAATATCCTGATTAAGCTTAGAGGGCAAGTCTTTCTCTCTTTCTTAAATAAAATTTTTATTTTATACTCATTTACTTACGAAGTTCATATACCTTGTTTCTCACACTGGATCTTTCCCATTTCCTTTATCCAGAGGATAAGTCTCTTAATGCCTTTAGTTTTACTTCCATATCTGTAAAATGACCTGTTGTACTAGTTCATTTCAGAGCTTTCTTTCCTCACAGAAAGCTCTATGCATAAAACTTCTAGGGTAAACCTTCTTTACTAAAACACATAAAAAATAAAAAAAAATAAAATCCAACAAATGATTTGCTGAAAGGAGGAAGTTGAATTCATGGAGAGTGTGGTGCTTAAATGCCTCTTCTTTTTGTGTACCATTGAGTTGAAATGGACCCATAGTTGACCCTCCAGCTTTCAGAGGCTGTAAATTGCATGGGAGGAGATTGCCTATCCTTCTTCAGTGGAACAACTGGTAGATTTGAAACAGTACCTTTGCGTTGGGAGTGGCCATCTAACATGTCCCATTGTAGTAGGGAGTCAGGGAGGACTTCCTGGAGGAGGTGACATCTCAATTTAGCCTTTTATGTTTGGTGCATGAATAAATAACTGCCGTTTTCACAAATTAGGGATTGAAGTCTAAAAAAACTTACCTAAAAAAGAAATCTACGCAGGAACTCACAAGATGGAATGGGAGAAAGCTCTCACTGTATGACATAATAAAACATAGCTCCAGGGTGGAAACAATCAAATGATTGTCCATCAACAGGTGAATGGATAAAAAAAAGACTGCAGGCATTCAATGAATGGGATATTACTGAGCCATAAAGACAGTGAAATTCTAATTATTGCTTAGGAAGCAATGAGTTTCTGTGATAGAAAATCTGGAAATAGATATCAGTGAAGGTTGCACACCTGATTGTTGTAATTGGTGCCCTTGAATTGTACATATGAGATGATGAATTTTTAAGTTTTGTAATACCTCTATTTTTAGAATAATAACAAAGATAATTTTTTAAAATTGCCAACTAACACACAGATTATGATGGTACATAAAGTTGAAAATATCAAAACCCGAAACTATATAAATATAGGGATATACGTGCATAAAATGCAATATTCAGAGCCTCTTCTTGGTCTTTTTTCCTCTGTCTTTGTAATGACCTATGTGGTTTATATACAATTTTAGAAAGTTATTATCTCTTGGAAAAAGGGGAGGTGAATTGGGGAGAGGTACAAAGCTGTCTTTGTATCTCTTAGCAGTTTTAAGAATTCTAAAGGAGAATGGTTTGTGTTATTTACTCTTTGTTAAATTTGTGTATTAGGAGGACATTTATTTTCTGTATGTTTTACATCTGAGATATTTCACAGCTGAAAATCAAAACATATGCATCCTATTTACCTGAATCCTAATCTCATTTTCCTTCTTTCCCTCTACCAAATAGAAGACAAAGACCCCTTCTGGATCCAGGCTACACTAGTTTATGGTGTCTCACTGTATTAGGGGATTAAAATGGAAATAATCAAGAAAATACAGAGCTAGTGCAGATAGACTACTAGAATAGCTTAGAAATAGAACCCTCACAGCTAATGTGAGGAACTACCTCTTCCAATTTCCAAAACATCACTATCCCAAACAGAAACTCTGTACTCATTAAGCAACGCCTTAGGCTCCATCTCTATAGATGCAAATCCAGTGAATTCTACCTATGTATGTATCTCTCTGCCTGCCTACCCTACCTAAAAACAGAGATAGAGACAGACGAAGAGACAAAGATTTAAGGAAATGTTTCATGCACTTGTAGAGGTCATCAGGTCCTTAGGTTAGACTTCAGGAGAAAGATAGGTTGACACTGAACCATTTCAGGAAGTAGCAGATGATTAAGAATCAGTGGTTACTGAAGGAAGAAGTCAAATCTACCTTGAGAGTATTGGCAAACAATAAGGTTCCAGAAACTGACAGAATATCAATTGAAGCACTTCAGGAAACAGACATATCCCTGGATGTGTTCACTGGTCTATGCCAAGAAGACAGATAATCAAATGGAAGAGATAAAAGAGAAAAGAGAAAAAAGGTGATCTAATAAAAAGCAGAAATTATTGTACAATGTCATTAATATAACGTGTAAGTGAAATTTTGCTGAAGAATATGAAAATACATCTCAAGCAGGACATTGACTGGTAATTGTCAGAAATTTAAGTTGAATTCAGAAGTCTGTGGAACTAGGCATATTATTGCTGATATCAGATGGGTCTTAGCTAAAAGCAGGGATTATCAAGGAAGATGCCTGTGTTTTATTTACTACTTAAAGACATTTGCCTGTGTGGATTAAAATGAATAATAACATTAAGAAGAATGCAAATCACAGGACACTTAATTGTGCTTATGTGGAACTTGTACATAGACCAAGAAGCACTTGTTCAAATGGAACAAATGAGAGGATATTGCATAGTTTAAAATTAAGAAAGGTGTACATCAGGATTATATACTTTCATTATACTTTTAACTATACCTGTTCAATCTGTGTTGCGCAAAATATCTGAGAAGCTGAACAATACGAAGATGAATGTGACATCAGAAGTGGCAGAAGACTCATCAACAATCCCTATTATGTAGATGACACTATGTGGAAAGTGAAGAGGACTTGAAGGACTTACTGAAGAAGATCAAAGACTACAGTCTTCAATACAGTTTTCACTCCAACATCAGTAAAACAAAAATCCTCACAACTGGATGAATAGGCAACATTACAATAAATGGAGAAAAGACTGTATTTGACAATGATTTCAATTTACTTGAATCCACACACAATATATGCTGTCAAGTTGCCTGCAACTCATAGTGACCCTATGTACAACAGCCCTGAAGCCTGCCCTGTCCTGAGCCAGTCTCACTGACTCTGAGATACTTAACCTTATTGCCCCAGTTATTGTATCAATTCATCTCATCTGGGATCTTCCTCTCCCACGCTGTTCCTCCACCCTTCCAACCATGATGGTCTCCAATAATCGGTCCCTCCTGGCAACAAGCCCAAAATATATGAGATAGAGTTTCAGAATCCTAGCTTCCAAGGAGAAATTTCGTTCACCCTTTCCAAGACAGGCTTGTTTTCTTAGTGGTCCATGGTATGTTCAAGACTCTTCCCCAGCATCACAACTCAAAGGCATTGATTCTTCTTCTGTCATCCTTAGTCATTGTCCAGCTCTCTGATGCATAACAAGTAATTGGGAAGACCATGGCCTAGATTAGGCACACCTTAGTCTCTAGACTGTTACAATTGCTTTTCAGTACTCTGGAGAGGTCCCCGACAGCAGATTTTTCCCAGTGACATTTGTCTTTTGATTTGCTGACTGCTGGTGCCAAAAGTGTTGTGTAGGTGAGCAAGCTGTAGCTGTTAACAACCTCAATCTCTTCTCCATCTATTATGGTGCTGCCAATTGACCCAGTGGCGAGACTCTTTGTCTTCTTGATGTTGAGCTTCAATCCATATTGAAGACTATAGTCCTTGACCTTCTGCTGCCAACTCCTCAGGTCCTCCTCAGGTTCAGTAAACAAGGTTGTGTCATTTGCATAACATAGGTTGTTGATAGTTCCTCTTCTATTCCTGAAGGTGGCTTCATCCTCATAAAACACAACCTCCCAAATGATTTGTTCTGCATATAGATTGAAAACACATGGAGACAGGATGCATGCCTGACACACCACTTTTCTGATCTGGAACCATGCAGTGTTTTCTAGCTCTATTCTGAGGATTGCTTCCTGGTCCAAGTAGAAGTTTCACATAAGAATAATCAAGTGCTCTGGGAATTCCATTCTCCTCAAAGTTAGCCACATTTTGTTGTGTTCTACAGAGTTAAATGTCTTTGTATAATCAATGAAACAGATATTCCTGTGGTAGACTTTGCTTTTCTGCAAAGATCCATCTGACACTGGTGATAATGTCTCTGGTGCCACAACCTCTTCTAAACCCAGCTTGTATTTTTGGTAGTTCTCTGTCAATGTACTGTTGCAGTTGGGGTTTTTTTCATACTCTTCAGCAGAATTTTGCTTGCGTGTGATATGAGTGATATTATTTTATAATTTCCATACTCTGTTGGGTCACCTTTTTTTTTTAATGGAATTATATATGGATCTCTTCCAGGCAATTGGCCAGGTGGTTGTCCTTCAGATTTCTTGGCACAACCTAATGAGCATATCCAGAGCAGCATCTGTTTGTTGACATTTGTTGATTGGTATTCCACCAATTCCTGGGGCTTTTTCTTTGCCAAGTCTTTCAGAGCTGCCTGAACTTCCTCCTTCATCACCATACCTTCTTGATCATCTATTGTTTAATGAAATTCTTCTGTGTCAGCCAATTCCTTTTGGGTACAGTGACTGTATACTCCTTCCATCTTCTTTTAATGCTTCCTGGATCATTCAATGTTCTGCCTATAACATCCTTAAGTATTGCAACTCATGACTTGAATTTGTTCTTTAGTTCCTTAAGCATAAGAAATGCCAAGCGAGTTTGGCCCTTTTGGTTTTCTGGTTCCAGCTCCTTGAACATTTTATTATTATACTTTGCTTTGTCTTCCCGATCTGTCCTTTGAAATCTTCTATTCAGCTCCTTAACCTCTTGACTTCTTCCCTTTGCTTTGGCTTGTCGACACTCTAGTGCAATATTCAGAGTCTCTTCTGACATCAATTTAGGTCTTTTTTTCTTTCTCTTTGCAATGACCTTTTGCATTCTTCATGGATGATATTGTTGATATCTTCCCACAGCTCATCTGGTCCTCATTCAAAGCCTCAAACCTGTTTCTGATTTGGCTTTTAAATTCAAGGGAGATAGACTCAAGATGACATTTTGATGCCCATGGATAAGATTTGACCTTCTTTAGCTTTAATTTGAACTTACCTATAAGTAAGTTAATGAGTAGTTGATGGTCTGCTCCACAATCAGCATCTGACCTCCTTTTCACTGTGGATATTGAACTTCTCCAATGACTCCTTCCACAGATGTAATCAATCTGATTTCTGTGCATCCCATCAGTTGAAAGCCATGTGCATAGCCTACATTTATGTCTCTTTTAAAAGGATTTGCAATGAATAAATCATTGATTGTTCAGAATTCTATCATTCTATCCCCAGCCTCATTTCTGTCACCAACTGTTTTCCAACTACTGCTCCTTCTCCCTGGTTCCCAACTTTTGCATTCCAGTCACCCATTATTATTATTAATGCATCTTGGTTACATATTAGATTGATTTTTATTTTACTGCAACAGGTGATATAAGTCATCTATGTCCTCCCTTTTGGCTCTGGTTGTTTGTTTTTGTTGTTGTTATGTGCTGTTGACTAATAGTGACCTTACGTACAACGACTCTGAACCCTGCTCTATCTTCAGCTAACTTCATTGTTTCCAACACACCTACCCTCATTACCCCAGTCACTGATTCAACTCATACAGGTTCTACTATAATAGGGTACTATAATAGGATGCTTTAGTGGCCTATTAGATAAGGAGTTGCCCTACCAACTTAAAGGTAGACAGTTTGAACTTCCAGCTGGTCCTCAGGAGAAAGATAATATCCTTTTGTGTGATTTACTGCCTCTGAAATCTGCTGGAGCTCCAGCTATGAGTTGATTCTGTCTCAGCAGCACATAACAACAACAATTATATCCCAGTAGTTATTAGATAAATACATATGGCTATTTATCTATATAATAACTACCTTAGCAGATGTGAACTAATGTCTTATTCTGACATGTTTCCCCAAACACTAATGCAGTATTGCACATCTTGCCATGTGCTTGTTGTCTTCTTTCCATTCCACATTTTCTTACCTAGGGAGTTCTGGTGGCTTAGTGGTGAGGATCTGTACCACCAACCTAAACACACACAGTTCAAATCCACCAGCTGCTCTGCAGGAGAAAGATGTACAATCCCCTGTGTGATTTACAGCCTCTGAAAACTCACTGGAAGGTCAGCTCTGAGTTCATCCTGATTCAACAGCACATACCAAGGTGTTATCATCTAAAGATTTAGATGTGTATTTGTTTATTAATGATATTTCCTCTTTGGATGGACTAGAACTTGCAATTCTTTCAGCAATAGCCATTCAGAGATTTCTCAGATCAAGACTAAATACTATTAACTAAAGATTTACCATTTGGCAAGCACTTATAGAAGCATTTTCTGTGAATTTTTTTTCCAGTCAACCCAACAGTGCTGTATTAAGAGAGGAGAAGAAGATGGAGAGGTTAAATAATCTGTTTACAGATTTAAACGCAGGTCTGTCCACCTGCTCAGTCTGCACCTCCCACACTGAAGATGCACACTGACCCACGTAGTCAGCTCCTGTGGGCTGACCAAAACCAGACAGGACAAGAACTTCTTCAGCTTGGTACTTTGCTCTGTGGGACAATTATTCAAGTTAGGTGCATTTCAATGAAAGCATAATATAATCATTTCTTTAAAATTGTTACATCTTCAGAATGAGGTTATTGATTATGAAATCTAGAATAGTTTTCTTTTTGGCAGAACGAGAATACCTCACCTAAAAAGACATCGTGTATAGTGCTATTCTGTGATAATCTTGATAGATTTCCGTTTTGTGTAGGTGTTTGTAAAACTCCAGAAACTGTGAAGTTGTGATAACTGTAATAGATCCTGTGTTGGTCCCATAATAGAAATTCTGGAAATGCTGAATACAAAAAGCGTGAAACTAAGACGCTGTCACTAGGGACATTTAAGACAAAGTCTTGTTGTGTCCACTGTTTGGTATCTTCATTATGTATAATCAGGTAAATATCTTTGCCTGAAGTGCGTGTAGTGTAGTAACTGAAAAATACAGCAAGTTCCAAAGGATGCACCGTATACTCAACGGTGTGTATAGTTAGAGTACCAGCTGATGACAGGGAGAGAAGATGCTTCAGTTTTACAGTTGTCATTATCCTTCTAAATTTAAACAAAGCATGAGGATCTTCTGCTTTTCTGGTGCCAGGTGGATAATAATGCCCTAGGAAAACAGAATTTTTTGTCCAGACTGCCACACTGCTTCTTTTTCCTGAAAACTGTGACAGAATAGAAAAGAATTAGAAAGATCTATAATTTCTGTCTTCCAATTGGCTACATTTTGACACAAGAAAGTTGCAACTACTAAAGTCTAAATTTGCTTCGGCATACTTCTTTTTTTAAAAAAAATATTTTTATCCTATACAAAATGCATATATATACTGTGATTCATTCATATACATCGTGTTTCACACATTCCGTCATTCACATTGTGTTTCATACCATTATTCCCATTCACTGTGGTTTATAAAATCAATCACCATCAATCTGTATCCACTATCATCCCATCTTTTCAGATCCCCAATGGATCTTTCCTGATTCTTTCACTCCCTCCCTCCACCACTAAATTCTGTGACCCCATGATTTCCTCTCCTCCCCATCCTCAGCCCCTTGCTTCCTCCCCTTCCTCCTTTAGACTCTTGTCCACATCCTTGTTTTAACAGACACAGAAATAGTTATAAACGGAGAAATAAAATATTCCAGTAATTTTACTCTCAACTACAATATTATTGTCTCCTACATATTGATATCCATCAGTAGGAATAACAAATCAAAACACTTCTAAATTATCAAAGTTATCAGTGTTCATTTTCTGCTCTTTTGACCATGATGTTTACTAATGGTAATACATCAAATACTTCAAACATTAATAAGAATGTGTAACAATCCTCAAGGGAAAATAGAAACAATCATGTAAACAACCTATGTGGTAGACTGCAAAAATATCACAAGAATTTGCCATTCTTATAATCAAAACAAGCTCAATAAGAAAAGCATGAGTTTTGTTGGTTTGTTTGTTTTAGTCCATCAGAGGCCTAAAGAAATTAAATCCAGAAAATGGTGAGCATTCCACAGAAGTTGAACTAGAACTCATAGTATGTTGAGTTGACTATAACTCATAGCAACCTTATGAAAAACAGAGAACAGAATTTTGCTCTGTCCTGCTCCATTCTGGGTACCTCCACCAGACTCAGCCCATTGTTTAGTCATTGTGTCAATCCACCTCGTTGTGGACATTCCTCTCTTTCAATGGCCCTCTACTTTCCCCTAAATAATGTCTTTTTCAAAGACTGGTACTTACTAACAACACACCCAAAGTATGTGAGAAGAACTTTCGCCACTCTTGCCTCAAAGGAGCGCCCTGGTTACACTTCTTTCAAGGAAGATTTCCTTGCTCTTCTGGCAGTCTGCAATATAGTCCATACTCTTTGCCAACATCACAGTTCAAAGGCTTTAGTTCTCCTTAGGTTTTCCTTATACACTGTCCAACACTCAGATGCATATGAAGCAGTGGAAAACACCATGGCTTGGGTCAGGCACACATGTCTTTATACTGACATCCATGCTCTTTAGCAGTTTAAAGAAGTTTCTGATAACAGATTTGCCCAGAGCAACATATCTTTTGATTTCCTGACTTCCACTGCAATGGATGCAGATTGTGGATCCAAGTAAAAGAAAATCCTTGACAATTTCAATCTTTTCTCTATCATGATGCCTATTGGTCCAGTGGTGATTATTTCTGTTGTCTTGATGTCGAGGTGTAAGTCATATTGTACTGTCAAGTCAGAGCTGGCCCTCCAGCAAGTTTTCAGAGGCAGTTAATTGCATGAGAGGAGAATGCCCATCTTAGGGATTGCAGCACAGCTTCTTGGCAGTTGGCCATCAGAGCTGAAGACTATATTTTATCAATTTCTTCAGTTAGTGTTTTCAGTCTTCACTTCTCTAAGCAAGGTTGTGTCATCTTCATAGCACAGGTGGTTGATGAGTCTTCCACTAATCCTGATGTTACATGCTTGTTCATATAATCTAACCTCTTGAATTATTTGCTTACCATGCAGATTGAATCAATATGAAAAAAGGAACCATTTCAGGAAGTAGCATACAATCAAAAATCTACGCCACTGAGGAAAAAGTCCAAGCTGAAAACATCAAGGTCCATTGTATCAGTCAGAGTAAATGTACTACAAATAAGTCTACAGTTATTGATAAATCTTTCTTAGTAGGTTCAATTCACATGTTGCTGTTTGCCATCGAGTTGGAACCAACTCATCACAGCTGACCCTCCAGTGGGTTTTCAGAGGCAGTAAATCACATGGGAAGAGACTGCACATCCTTCTCCCTCAGAATAGGCTGGTGGATTTGAGCCATGTGCTTTTGGGATTGTAGTGCAGATGGAACAAAATGAAATCTTGTGGAACGGAAAGGTCCCTGTACACTAAATAATGACACAGTGCTAAAGAGTTGAAATACTGCTGAAGTAAAGGACAGTGAAGGCCTACTGCCGGCCTTTCCAGCTGGAGTCAAACTGCTTCTGATAAACTTTTGAAATCAATGGAGAAAGGAATTGGTTACATCAATAGCTGTCTATCTTTGGATTGCCAAGGCTGTAAATCAGTCATCTAGCTAGTTAGCGATCATATATTGGTTGTGTACAACATTTGTATACATTGTGTTTCACACTTTCCTTCATTGACGTTGTGTTTTATATAATCATTCCTATACATGGTATTTTATAAAATTAATTACCAATCAACTGTGTCCACCATGACTCCATATTTTCAGGTCTCAGCCAGATTCTTCCCATTTCCCTTACCCCTCACCCATCCACCCACCAAATTGTGTGACCTTTTCATATCTCACATCATCCTTCTGCTCCCACCCCTTCCTCCCTTGAACCCCCCACAGATGTTTTACTAGTTATCCTTCTATTTTTATAATAATGGTCTTATGCAGTATTTGTCCTTATGAGACAGAGTTAATTCACTCAGCGTAATGCCGTCCAGGCTCTCCCAAGTTAGTTAGTATTTTTCCAAATCATTGCTCCTGAGCACTGCGTAGTATTCCATTATGTCAATGTACTACAATTTCTCAATCCATTCGATTGTGGTTGGACATTTGGGCTGCTACTATGTTCTTGCTATTGGTGTACAGCTCTCTGTGTCTCAGTTCTAATTTTCTTAAGGTATATTCACAGCAGTCATACCAAGGCCATGTCTTAATGGGAGAAGATGATCATCTTTCTCCCATAAAGTGGCTGGTGAATTCAAACTGCCAAAGTTTTGGTTAGCAGTCCTCTATGTTATTGTTGATTGCCATCGAGTCAAGCATGACTCATAGCGACTCTATGAACAAAAGACCTAATGCCTTTTTATAACTCTCATCCTTTCTCTCCAAGTTCATAGAGTTTCCATAGACATGTGGTTTAGGAAATGGATGTCATTCCTGTTTCGAAGCTAGGGCTTTCAATAATATCTACAAGTGCATCATCCAGGGAAATTTTATATTTCTCCCAGTCTTGTAAATAAATAAAAACTTTTCAGGAAAATAATAACCATTTGTTATTTTAAAAATTCCACTCTCTGGTAGACATGCATCTGTTACAATGTCTTCATCATTGAAAATGCCTCGAAAGACTCTGATTATACAATGTAGATACACTATATTTAATATTCAGTATATGTTGTTGTTGTTGTTGTTGTTGTTAAGTGCCGTCGAGTCGCAGGCGACTCATAGCGACCGAAGAAGGAGAGTCCTCAACACTTGGATGTCTTTCATCCTCTCTCCAGGTTCATAGAGTTTCCAGGGCAAGCTATTACGGAAGTGGATGCCACTCCTGCTTCCAGGCTTGTTTTAATCGGGGAGCTCCACCCCAATCTCTGTCCGCATTGGTCCATATTGTATACCAAAGATTAACTTTGAAATGTACCATGTAAAAGTCAGTCAGAAAAGACCTCATTGCTTTTGATTTCACTTATATGAAATTTCCAGGATGGGCAAGTTCAGACAGAGTGAATATTATTGGGTGCCAGAGGCTGTGGGCAGGCAGAATGGGAGCAAGTGTTTCTGGGGGCAGCATTTCTTTTTGGGATGGCAAAATGTTCTGGATTTAAGATGGTGGTAACTGCTGCATTACTTTCTAGATATAGAAAACCCCACTAAATTGTGTACTTTAAGAAGGTGAATTTTATTATATGCAAATTTTTAAGGTAGGTTTAAAAATTATTAATAACATGATTAGGGAATCACATTCATCCATATTTCATAGGAAAGTCCAGATTAAGGAAAATCCTTTGAGACACTGTGTGATATGAAAATATTATCTCTATTTTTTACCTCATAAACAAATATTATCAACCATAAAACTGAATGTAAACCAAAATGAAATATGACAACTGAAAGAGCTAGTTTCAGCCTTAAATAAAATAACTGTGGCTCGGGTGGGGCACAGTGGAGGTTTTCTCCTAACAGCTTCTAATAGATTCTTGACTATGGTAAGGTAAATAAATGTTATGATATAGTATATATTTAGTTAAACTTTTACTAACCTTGAGCAAATAATTGCGCCAACACCATTTTCTGGATGTAATACCAAGAATTTCATCACTAGGAAGAGAAGAATTTTTTCCCAGTCTCACAAAGTCAGAAAAACTTTTCAGGTAAAGGATACCATTTATTAGAAAAAATATCATACCATCTGCCAGGCACACATCCGTTACACTGTGTCTTTCAGAATCACTTAGAATGCCTTGGGGCACTCTAACTTCTGTCCATGTACTGAATGAATCATTTGTTTGCAAAGTCTTAATTTCTGTAACCAGAACAAAAAAGGAAGGAGCACAATCAGCCCAGTCAGCCATTAACTCACTGCCAGCTGGGGAAGAGATGGGTAGGTCGTCAGGGACCAGAGGCATTGTCCTCAGTGGTCCACTCAGTAGAAACCGAAGATTGCCAATCAAGCACTCTTGAAAAGCCACATTGTTTCCTTTAATTTCCAATAGCTCATCTTCTGGAGGTACCGGTAGGACTATTTTCCAGATCCTAAAGAGGGGGTGGGGGAGGGGAAAGGGAATCTGATGATCTCGCTCTTCTGATAGGTGAGGTACATGGTACTGACATTAACTTTTGGTCATTATTATCCCAGGTATGCCCATAGCATTGGTAACCAAAGGCCCTAATTATCTTATGGTTCAAATCTACCAGCCCCTCCCCAATAGAAAGATGGAGAATTTCTTCTAGCAATAGTTTACAGCCTCAGAAATGGATGGAGGGTCACTATGCATGCATCAGAACTGACTGGACCACAGTGCTTTTGAGTTACAGTATGAAAGACAGTAAAAGTAGCCCTGTTAAAAAAGGCCATTAAAATGGACTGCGAACAGAGACACTGGAATTCAAATCCTCCAACCACTCTGTGAGAGGAAGATGAATAGTCCTCATTTAATAAACAAAGAACACTGCATTGAAACAGATGAGGGAAAGAACTGTTTGAAAGGGATACATGATTAAGTATTATTTGCATGACAACAGTCCAGAATAAGAGCTGCACAGTAAAGTGGTCTTGGGAGGGGGGAAGAAATTGTGCAATAATGAAAGGATCTTTTTTAAAATAATTTTAATGAACATTTACAGAGAATTTGGATTTCCGTTCATTCATTGCTGCACTTCTCTACCCGCCCAGCCCTCTCCCCCCACCCCAGCTCCCTCCTCTCTTTCAAAACTAAAAGAAAGACTCCCTCCCTTGCACACAATCCCCTCACACCCCTCCCACCGCCCCAAGTACAGTCCACTATGCAACCTTAATTGTGGACTCTTGTGATAACCATAATACCCTATCATACATCGCTTTTAAATTATTCACTCCCTCATCTGTTTCAGTGCAGTATAC